TTTTATCCTTACCTGTAGGTTGGGGGGGGGTTGTAAATAGATGTAAAATGTGTATTTCAGGTACTGCTTAAACTCTATGGGAAGGTATGCAAAAGAAATTTTCAGTTAAAATTTCTTTTTTTTTTTTAAACATCTGCCAACATTCCAGCAGATATAGTTTGGGAAGCATTTTGAGTTTTTATCATTACAGTGCTAGAACACACCAATGCTTATATTTTGCCAGAGACAAACTATGAAAATCTTAAGTACCTAAGAGAGATCTGAAAGACCTGTAGACACTTTGGCACTGTAGATAGAAAAAAATTCTTGAGAAAGTAGGAAAAGTGGCTTGGTCACAACAATAGTAAGAGGAAATAAAGGGAGCAGTATGACACAGAACAGGAGTCAAAGCAGGAAATGACAAGTGAGGACATGCATTTCTATCCTGTGAAAGGACAGAGAACTACTAAAAGGAGACAGGATGGAACATTTAAGGCAGCAGCAAGGTTTGAGGTTGCCCCCACCTTCTTTTTTGTTTATTGACTGAATTCAGACCATGAGACACACAGAAAGTATGGATGATAAATCACACTTGCACTTCAACACTTAAATCTTCAGTAGAAGAGAATAAGAATACTAATGCTTGCAAGCTATCATGCCCTGAAAGCAGAAGTATGGATCCACCTACATCGCCTTTCCCCTCTTTTTCTCCCCAAATGTTGTCTTAGGTGAGCTTACAAAAATGATATTTTTTTTTTTTTTTAAGATTGGCCAGAAGTTTACCTTCAGGTATTTCAGCTTTTTGTGTAAGAAACAACCCTGCAAGCAATTCTATGGAACAGAATACTTTAGATCTCCGTCAACTTTTTTACTTTGTAAATACAAAGTAAATAGGCCTGTATTTTGCTCTCTTTTCCTATATTATAGGAGCTGCAGCTCCGTACTTAGTCAAAAAGATGCACTGGAAACAAACATTTTGTCATCTCTGCAGTATTTCTAGAGAGATTTTTAAAGAATCAGCTACACATTTTAGGTTAGTTTTCTGCCACTAAAAGAGAGCCAGAAGTTATTCTTCTGCTAAGGAGCTGGAAATCCACTGGGTCCTGGAAAACTCTGAAGAGTCTGCTTGTGGCAAATATGCCACAAAGCACTACAATGGGCAAAGCAACTACATTTACACAGAGAATTGCTGTGTGTTGCATATTGGACCCAGGGGAGACTACAGAACCAGCTATACAATTCCAGGACAATACCACATATGAAGATTGTTGTATTACCTTACATGAGAACTACAGTGAATCAAAAATGCCTTTAACTAAGGTTTATTGCGAGCGACATACCTTGTGCATGTGTAAAGTAAAACCTTAAATTAAGAACTGGTCAGAGTTACTTTTTTTACTTAAGAAATGTAATGTGTAATCTTAACTCAAACTTCACATTATTAAATTATTTTAAAACCTCTCCCTTCTGAAATTTCTTAGAATAGCAGTCAGACCTGTTTAAAAATCTTTCTGAAGTATGATAGAGGCTTTTTTTTCTTCCCCTGTTAAGTTTCAAGAGACCTTTTGGACTAAACAAAGCAACAAGTCTCAAGTTTCATTGTCCTTTCCAGCCATCAGAAGAGCCATGCAAGCCGTTTTGAGTAGTCCTCTAATCTCAAATTGTTTCTACTAATAGTACCAGATACAAACAATAATCAGTTAATATTATATTACAGTAAAAATTCATTCACTATTTCTCTCTCATTTCATTTTATCCAAATGAAAGTTTTTTGTTGCCTATTACCTGCAGAGAGTTCAAATGTAGCCCACACAGCTCCAGGAGAGCACACTATGCAGTTAAAAGAGTAATCACTGCAATAACGATTTCTACATAGTGCATCAACTTCGAACACGGTAAGGCATGATTTCCCCTGGCTCTTGGTACAGGGCTGCAAAGGTAGCAGTATAGCTCCAGTATTGTCCATGAGCAGTGTGGAGGAGATCAGAATGGGATGTGGTATCCCCGGAAAGGCAAACAATTCAAGCTACCACACACATTGTGGGATAGAAAAGACTAACAAATGCAACAAGGGAAGCTCCAGCATCACTCCTGGCACAGAAGATATGTGATCGATTTAGGAAGTTGTTATTTTGTTATCTTGTCTCCTAACCAAAATTGAGATTCCTG